CTGCGACACACCAGAACAGGTCATGTGCTGTGGAGCGGGCCTCGCCCCCCATGCGTGGGCTTCCATAACACGGGCTCTTGCCAGCATCGACTACACTCACAACATTCTGTCAGACATTGACAATGCTCGAACTTAACATTCTGTCAACCACGCATGCTTGCAATGTCCGTCGTGGGTGCAAGCCTATCTTACACCACCTCGGCGATGATCTTCCCACTGCAGCAACACCTCGGTCAGCCCAGAGCCCCTGAACGCGGTGCCCCCGCTGATAACAAACCGTGGGACTAACCTGTTCTTGTTGTCCTCCATCTCACGGTGTGCTGCCTGTATATCATCCCAGGGGTACACCTAGAATCAGAGCGGCACGGCGTCATTTTATGTTGAGAGAAAGTGGCACGAGAGGTTGGACGTGCCTTGTGGATGTAGATCCGCAATGCGCCATCCCCGTTAGCTCCCGTGATGTGGCCCAGAGCGTCACACTGGAATCTGTTGCCACTTGGCACCGGGTTACGCCTCAATGGAGCAGAGCAATACGCACCTCGCGATCAAGTCTGCAGTATATTCAGGCGAGCGGGAACGAAGCGTGGAGCCCTCGATGCGGAGACGCTTGTACAGGAGTGGACCCAGATTGAACGAGTCGACTTTACCACCTGTTATGATCTGATGTGGCGTCTCGTTCAGTTGAGGTCAGGGCGATTGACTGACCACTAAGCAGTCCAAGCATTGTCATCCTGCCATCCCTTGCAAGGGCATCGATGTTCTTTTGCCAGTGGCTTTGGCCAACGAAGTCAATGATGACGTCCACGCCGTTGCCATTGGTCATTTTCTTGACCTCCTCCGCAAAGTTCTGCGTCTTGTAATTCACGACGTGAGTCGCGCCGCTGGGAATTGATTTGAGCCAATCTAGCTTGTCGGCAGTTGAAGCCGTCGCGGTGACGGTCCTCCTGTGATAGATCAACGCGTCTCAGGCACGAGCATCACAGATCTAACGAGTGAAGACCCACGTGCACATGCCCGGTGGAAACGACGAGAGAGCCCACTGTCAGAGCCATATAGACGGTCGTACAGACAGTCAGATAGACAGTCGTACAGTTGTATAGATGGTCGTAAGCGCCCGGGCACTAATGCTATCCGTTCCCTCGTCGCGCTAGCCCTGCCTCCTCTCGGAATCACGCATCTTCCGCCACTCTCTATGCAATGCTCTCCGGTTCTGCAAACTGGCTGCCTACCTGCCCGAGCGGCAGGGCAATTGTACATATCTCTATGATCCCGCTACACCAGTTTCTTGTCTGAATGTCCTAGGATGCCTCCTTGCTCGTGTTCCCACCCATCGCACCTTCCTCGCGCGAGCGCACTCAAGCCCTGCCCGGGCTATAATATGCCCAAAAGCGGTCAGAAGCAGTTTGTGCGCAAGCTGACTTTCTCCATCACAGCTCACCTGACTCAGAAAGTGTGCCGAACAACTGATGGTAATACAGTTTGCGGGCAAAATGTGCGACTGTATGTGGCGGCGGGCACAACGACACCGCACAAGCAGTGAACTGACCACATCAAGAAATATATTGCGTTGTCATTAGATCTCTACGGAACACATCCTGTGCTGCGAGTGCGCCGCCTAGTTGCCCAGTGCACGGCGGTGAGCTCCTTACCATGTTTGCGTGCGCAAGGCTTGCCGGGCAGACTGCGGGGAGGGCCAGGACGTGCAGAATCAGGTGAGTCGGCCGGGCACTCTGTGACTGCCCAATGCGGTGTTGACTAGAAGTGACGCCATCATAACAGGTGTCGTGGTCCGTCCGGTCTATCAGGCCGCTGCTGCCCGGACATGTGCATTCTGGTGCATTCTGAAGATCTCGGTCTTGGCAAGAGAACCGACATGCACCAGTCCATATCTGCTGACGTGCCCGCATCTGACGACTGACAACAGGAGCCTGCCATCTTGGTGCATGTGCGTGGTGTCCGGATGGGACGTCGACGCGAGGCAGCAAACCGGCAGAGTCCTCAGCAGGCTCTGCTGGGCGGCGAGATGTCTGCTCGGTTGTCGAGTTGATGCACGAGGAGAGAAATGTCGTCACCTTGCTGATGTGTATGCGCTGGATGATGGCAACGTGCGCTCGTGCTGGAAAACAACACCACACGAGATTGACATTGAGTGTGAGTGGGCGTGTGTCGGGAGTAGTCGGGCAACAGACGTCGGAAGGTGGAAACGAGAGCGGGCTCGACGAACCGGGGGTGTGAAACTGACGACACGGGTGTAATGCTTCTGGCCGGGCGTCCATTTGTTGTCACTATCAAGGAGGACCGCCGACGGCAGATAGTAGCGGGAGGTGCCCGTAACAAGTGGGCGTGCTTCGCGGGCGAGCGTGGACACGCAGGTCGATCATTGGCAGCAGTCGCGCGGCGCACACTGGGATACCGCGGAGGACGGCTGACCGCCGCCCGCCGCAATGATTGCAGCGCAAGAGTATCTGCGCACACATCGACGAAGCATGCGCTGACCGGGCCGTGGTACTCGAACACTGCTGGTGCGGGCGCGGAGATGGCGTGACCATGGGACGACCTGTGCGGGACAGGACACTGCCGCTGCTAAGGGCGGGCAGAGGGGCATCGCTGCACATACCTGATGTCGCCTTGTATTGCCGCGCCCTGACCTTCGCTTGCCCGCAAGCGAATGGCGCTGCGCGATAGGCTGGCGCGGAGTGCGTTGGACGTGGGAGCAAGTCGGTGCCTGTTCGCACTTGAACGGTGAACGTGCTGACCGGGCCTTGATGCCTGTGGGGCTGCTTATGGGGGAACGACCGATGCGGCGCATTTGAGGGGGGCGGTTTGGGTGCGCGCGGCGGTAGGTCCTTGGTTGTGGTAGTGCTGCGTGCTCATCGTCGACCAATAGGACGGCGGATGGCGGTGCATGCGATCGTGCCGGCAGACGGGACATGGCAGACGCGAGGGCAGTGACGTGTGCAGAGACGAGTGGCTCGACTGGGCGATGTTCGCGACGGCTGCCGTGCGCTGCCCCTCTGCTCCGGGTTACTGTGCGTCCCTGCGGGGCGCCTTACAGATGTTCTGGGCAGGCTGTGCGCCGTCAGCTGGTGCGCGTCGGTGGACAACAGCGGTCCGTTTTGGTCCTGTGTCTAAGCACGCACGCTCCAGTGTCGCACACGAAATATATTTTACACTTCTAAGCGCATTTGTAGTAATGCAGCAGCAGCTGCGGGCGCGCGCGACGGCATGGGCAGCGCGTCTTGACCGAGTGCGGGAGACTGCGCGCGCACGCGCGCTCCATCCGCGACGCCACCCACGGTCGCTCGAGGCTCATGTGGTCGTGGGCCCGGCGTGCACATTAGGCCAGAAGATGGCGGGGGAGGCATCGTGCAGAGCGCGGGCACAGACCCAGGGCATGCAGACGGACGCTGATGGCTTCGCGACGGTAGACTGAAGTGAGTCTTGTGCTATTTGACGTGTTCTGGTGGTCACTCACCTCACTCGAATAGACGTGCTGCAGCGCGCGGCTCGACGTGTTCTGCTGTGCACCCAGCCTCCGACTTGACTCAATGGTCTGCGACGGCGGCCGTGTGCCGCCCCTCCGCTCCTGGCTGCGGTGCGTCTCTGCAAGGCGCCACACGGGCTGCGCGCGGTCGGCGGGACCGCGTCGGTGGATGGCGCGGTGGATGGCGGCATGGACGGCGGCGTGGGCGGCCAGTCTTAGCCCTCCGTCTACGCACCACACGCTTCGGTGTCGCCAATGAAAATATATCTTACATTTCTGTACGCATTCGCAGTAATGCTGCTGCTGCTGCGGGCGCCCGCGACGCTTGAGTGCGTGCGATGCCATGGACAGCGCATCATGACCGGGTCTGGGAGACTGCGCACGCAACGCGTGTCCCGCCCTCGACGCCGCCCACGGCGCGAACACACCACGTCGATTGGAATGGAATATGCGCCATAAACGCCACCGTATGGCAATTTCCGCTGGTTTCACCGTGCAGATCGACGATATCGTGTTTGACATTACAGCGCTCTGCCGTAAGACCGCGGGTTATTCGATCATCCAGCGGGTTCCAGCGTCGCAACCGCCAAGCCGGGGGATTGCACCAGGCTCACTGGCCCGCTGTGATCACGCGGCACTGTGGGAGCAGAGCCACTTGGTTTCGCGCCCGAGTCGCGGACGCGCGGGCGGTGTGTGCGGGCTCTCCCGCCTGGCTGGTGTTGATTGACGGACGGGCACCATCAGCCCCTCCTGTGGTCGAGGTGTTCCCCGCCCCCAAAATCCAGCAGAGGCACGCGCGCAGCAGCGGCCCGCGCGGGGAGCTCGTGGGGGGCATCCCGGGATGACGGCAGGCCGGCGCGCGCGCGCGTCGTGAGGGGCACGGCGTGTCGTGCACATCCGCGAGGAGCCAAGATGCCGATCAGGGCGCGCGGGGTCGCGTGGATCACAGTGGCACGCACGCGAATGGCGCAAATGCGAGGATGCGCACGCGCGGGCGCAGCATCGATCGCGCGGGGACGCTGCGTGCGACGCGGGCGTCGCCACCGGAGCGATGAGGGTGACGGGCGATGTGGGGGGTTTGCGGCGGGTAGACCTGGCGGGTGCGCACGTCGGCGAGGGCGTCCGTCCGCGTCAGGCAGAATGACCGCGCCCAGGTACGCGGGCGGGGACGCGGGGGGCTGCCGTCATGGGTTCGGGTGAGTAACAGCTTAGCGACGCGGCAGCCGATGCGGGACAATGGCCGCCGCGCATGGGTAAGATGCCCGGGCGGCAGTCGTGGGAATGGCGACAGGTCGGGAGAGCGTGCGAGGGATTTAAAGGCGGGGGTCGTTAGAGATTGCTGCATGGTTTACGACTCGGCTTCCGCTGTTGCCATCTTTTGTCCTGCTCGCCCGCTGTGTTGCTCGCCCGCCCCGGCTCTATTATGCTGCGCGCTTGGTCAGGTAAGCCGTCGTCGTGTTTCGGTATGATGTCAGTGACGTGCGCGGGCTTAGGGACCTTCGTCGCAACTGGGACGGGATCAAAGAGGCGGTGATCGACGACTGCGATGGTGCGCGCTCTCCGGGAACTGACCGCTGACCGGCCAGAACGTCGTGTCGCATGTCCGCATCCGCGTTGGCTGGTGAGTGGCGGACGACGGTTTGGGCATGCAAAAGCTTACCGCGATGTGTGATCGGCAGGTGTTCGCATCTCGCTGGCTGCGCGGCGGTGCAGGCCATCCGCGTCCTCGTCGTCGCTCTGCAGCACTGGTGGCAAGAGGATGCAGTCGCCGGGCTGCGCGCGTAGTGAGGCGCAAAGGCCAGTGGACAGGTAGCGGGAGCTGCGCGCAGATCGTGACCGGGGTACCGTTAATAGAGCGCGTGCAGTGTGTGTGTGTGTTCCGACTCGCAATTGTGGCGCGCGATGGATGTTTCTTGTAAGGCGGCGGTGCGGGACGGAGGCGGCGCGCACGGGTCACGTCCCTCACTGTCGTATTGATGTTGTGCGTCCGGGGAAGTCTGACGGCGCCGGCGTTGTGGGAATCATCGTCCACGGCCGACGATTTGCGCCATCGTTGTTGCCCTGAAGCACCGGCAGCGGTTTGATGCAGGCGAGGGCTGTCGTCTCGGTTCCAGGCTGGCGTGCGGCGTGCGGAGGGCGTAGCGAGCCGTTTGGAATATCGGGGGCGGCGGTTGGGCACAGCCTCGGTTGCGGGCAAACGTCTAGATGTGTGGTCGTCGAGCTGTGAGCGTGCTGGACGTCGGCGTATATTTGTGAGTAGATAGTGACCGGGAAGTCAATGACAGAGGGCTGGATGACGTACGTGAGGGGTATGATGAGTGAGGCAGCGCGGGACAAAGATGGTACGCACGGCCGGGATCCATTGAGCGATGCCTGACGCTGCACGAGGCGTTTGCCATTGTCTGCAGCCTCGACATCTGGTGTCTTCTCCGGAGGCGCGCTCGCGGTGCGTGTGTTGAGCGGGTCGATCATCTGCCCGAGTCTGCGCGGAGACTGTCTGGCGGCGGTCGCGATGGCCGACGCTGCTCAAAGTCTGCGCGTTCCCTGCAATCCCACGTCTTGCGTCTGATGCTCGCGCTCGTGATGGGCCCAAGTCTGTGTGCGCTGATGCGCGCCGAGGCACGCTGAGGCCGGGTTCCCGTCGTCGGATTGTCGACGCTGGTAGGATGCACGCGCGTGCGCCATTGCGTGCAGCGGATGTCGCCTTGGATGCGAGGGGGCGATCGCGCGTCGCAGATGTCAGAGAGGAGGCAGGCAGGCTCGGAAGGCAGGCGTGCAGGGCAGGCGCGCAGAGGGACGGCCACGCACACGGGAGCGGGCTCGGCTCGCGAGGGATGACGACGACGCTGGGCGAGAGGATGCGCGATCAGTAACCCGAGCGTCTATTTGCGCATTGACTGGACACGACGGCGCTTGCACGGTGTTCTATCTATCCACGGATGCCCACGCTTGGCCCGCGCTCGACGTCGAAGAAGCCTTGCATGGTGTCTTGAACAAGACGAGCTACAGTGGCCTCGCTGCCAATCAGACTGCTCTAGCCAGAGCGAACAACGTCAGCTGACTCCTTTCGAGTGGGACGTTCACAGACCATGAAACAAAAGGGGCGAACAATGTATCTGAGACATGACGCATGAGAGCGAACATCTGACATACGTGTTTCCGATCGTGATACATAGCATGGCCTCTGGCGGCTGCCCGCGTACTCTATATTCAATTCACAAGGAGAGTAGAGCCTTCCCTGCTTGCCAGAGCAGGGTTCTCTCCATTTAAGTTCAAGATGTCGCCGAGCTTAGCCAAGGGGTAGGCGTATCGTTGGTTTTTCACTCCAACCCTCGTTAGTTTAGCGCTGGACCCCAGTCACCGAGTGGGTGGGGCCTCCTTCTTATCCCTCATTAGATTGTCCATACTGCAGTTCACTGACGATCTGAGTATCGTATTATGCCTCGCCAACTTACACATTGGTTCTCCTATTGAGATTGAGGCTGCTCGCTTGTGGCCATTTCTCAAAGCTTCATGGTGGACCTCGATAGCATCACTGACTGGGATATCAGACAAGGCAGATCTCATCGTGATTCGCTGCGAGAGAAACATATACAGTGGTCGAGAAAAGACTTGCAGTATACTATGGAGTCTGGTAGATAACTTGCATTATGCCATACAGTGAATCATCTAGTACTGTTCAAGTATACATAATCCATGCTTAAGTTATGGATTTTGCAGTATATATAGTACTTGTACTTCTGAAGGTGTATGAAGTGCCAGATCTGAAGAATGTGGGGACCCCGGTCACCAATTGTACTACCACCACCATGGATGATTATGAGGAATCAACAGAGCGCCTACCCCTTGAGCTTAGCCCTGCTGGCTAGCTTGTAAATGGATCGCTTGATTCGGGCGTGTCGCTGACACTGTCTTCAATGGACGCGCGTAGATCGGCAGTCAGAAACCCAAGACAGAGCGGCTACACGGGCAACGCCGCTGGCACAGAAGACAGCTGCACTCCCCCCGAGGACCCACTCACACATCCTGAACGTGAACCTTGGCTCGCCGCCGCCCACAGTGCAGCACCCCGCGCTCGAGT